TTATGTTAATTAGATGCATATTTAAATGTGAATTAAGTTTATATTAATTTTCAGTATCAGAATTTAAGCTCGTTTATGAAAATAATAAATATTAACAGAAAATTTTTATTTAAAAAAAAATACATTTCTCAATTTCGTAGCGTTTGTGTTCGAAAATTTTGCTAAATGAATAATTGAGTGACGTTTGTACCATAAAACGCCACTAAAAGTAGTAATGCTCTTGCTAGTAAACAAGCTAAATTAGTGACGTTTTTGTGATACAAACACTACCAAAGTAACAACGTTTTTCTGATAAAAATGCCACTAAATTAGTGGCATGTCAGAGGTACAAATGCTGCTAATATAGAGATATTTTTCAGATACAAACGCTATTAATATAGTGACATTTTTCAGATACAAACGCTACTAATATAGCGACTTTTTATAGAAAACGCCTCTATTCTTTGTGACACGTGTATAGCCGGTACTTTAACTGGCATTTTTCGCAAACGTCATAAATATTTTAGAGGCCTTTATAAATGCCACTAAACGTTAAAAGGAAAAAGGTCACTAAAAACCAAAACCCTTATAGTGCTTGCTTGCATCATTACATGCTTGTTTGCATCATATGTACTTAATAAAATGATGTGAGGATTAAAATTTATGAAATAATAATCAAAATAGAAAATAAGTGAAAATCACAAATGTGTGATTTTTGAAAAAAAAGAGAGAATGAAAAAAAAGAAAATGAAAAAAGAAGAAAAAGGAAAAAAATCAGAAAATCCTTACAAATTTTGCTAAAATAATGAATTTTTTTAAAAAAATTAATAAACGTTAATTATCATTTTTAAGTAACAAGAATAATAATAAGAGTAAATATTAACAAATTCTAGAAATAGAAAAATCTATGTTGAAACCAAATTTTAAATATTTTAATAAATAAAAAATTAAATGAATCCAATAATGAAATTTTAGAAAATCATGAATGAATGATTTTTCTAAAATATTCTTGGTGAGAATCTTTTATTTAAATTATTCTAAAATGATAGACAATTTTAATAAAGATTCAATATTAAATAAAAAATTTAATTAAAAATATTTAAACAAAATTATAATAATTATCTAATGATAAAATTATAAGAAATTACGAATAATTGATTTTCTTAAAAATTTCTAGGCCAAAAAATATTTCTAAATATTTTTTTAAATGAAAATAAGAGAAATATTTTGAGGTAAAAAAATTTTCTTGCGATTTTACCATAATGATGAAGAAATCTTACAAATTTTTTTCAATAAAAACAAAATTACTTGGTATCGTCTTTAGAAGTATGCTATGAGATGTTAACATTTACTCATGTACAATCATATTTTCGAATTTAATTTTATAATATAGATAAAAACCTATCCTTTTTTAAAAAATCTTAGTGGAACTTTGAATTTTTTTAAAAATGATAAATATATTTAGGTGACCAATCATTTCTACTAAAAAAGTATTAGTGATAATTTTTAATTTTTTTTATGTTTAACGATTGAGTCCCTAAATTGATACATTATGACAACTTTAATTGGTGGTCATAGCCTCTTTTAAGCTTCCATGAAAAGAAAATTCTTGAATCAAGAATTTTTTGGTATATGAATCCAAGCTTTCAGGTTGAGAAGCAGTGAGGAAAGAAAGGTCAATGGTTGGTTGGTTTCAGAGAGAAATTGAACTTAAAAAAAAAAAGATTAATAATAATTTTATAGTAGCATTTCACTTACAAATTTAAAAATAAAAATTCAATTAAAGAAAAAAGTTTAAAAACTAAAAGTTTACATGGCAAATTAGTTTTTAAAAAATTACATGTCAGCTTATGCGTCAACATACGTGGCAATCACATCATTTTTTCGTCATTTAATTGGATGAAATTTGTTAAAGTGATTAAATTAGATATACTTTAGTAATTTTATAGGAATACATAAAAATTCAGTGACCTAACCAGGATTAATGCGAAAAATCAGTGACGTACGGTGTAATTCACTCTAGGAAACTCCAATTAGAGTTGTCCATCATCCATGGCTGTCTCTAAATTACCTTTTTCTAATTAATGTTCGCATACATTTCTACTCACTTGATAATTAGGCAGATGAGGGAGGCACATAGTTAGGAATAAAAAAATAATTAATTAAATAGATAATACAGTAAATTTTATTTTCTTTTTAAAAAGAAGGAAACATTATGTAATGATCATTATTTGGTTACAGTAAAAATAATAATTGTAATGACAAGAAACCTTATCACTTGTATGGTGGATTCCTTTCCGTCTTCCTTTGAGGATGGCGCAAGGGATAAAATCCTAAAATAATAGCTTTAACATGATTTAAGTGATCACTTCTTTGTCTTTTAGCTGTTATCTCTTCTTAATTTGCCAAAATTCTAACACAAAACAGCAACGAACAAAGAATAAAAAATAATTTCGCCATGTGATGAATGCCTTTAAAAAACTCTTCATCATCAAAAGGTAAAAGATTTTCCTTTAATTTTCTTTCGGCATGTAATTAGGCGCAAGGTTTCGTATAGTGAAAAGTAGTCGGTTTTTGTTTTGGCCACAAGAAATTAATAAATTTCGGTTGAAAAAAGTACAATTGATCATTTTTTTAATAGTTGCACATTAAGTATTTGAAATTGAATTCATATAAAAAAAAATTTTGAAATTTGAATTTTTTTTTATGACAGGACCTGAAAAATAGGGTTCTGTGGATCGAACCCGAACCATGCACTAACGGAGCGCATTCTCAAACTCACGTTGCCATGCATTGTGCCGAGCCTTGGGTGAATTTGAAATATACATTCACAAGAACAAGGATTTAGAAGAAGATATATAACTAATCTTAACCCAACTAAATCCATTAAAAAAAAAAAAAACATAAAAGTAAGCCACACCATAGAATTCGAAATTGGTATTTCTCCCTCCCTCCCAACCCCCTCCCCCCAAGTTTAGTTCCCAATCCCACCCTTTACCTTATTCATTTCATCTCCAATTTTGGGGTCTTTTGCCTATAAACTTTTGGTATGTGGAGTGGATAAGTTCTACTAAGATACAAGCTAGTGAGCTCAGCAGAAGCAGAAGATCCTTAACAAGCGTGGGCTTCTATAACATAACAGTAACACGATTCCGCACACATAGACATAACCAAACGAAAATTCATAAACATTAACACTATTTTTCCGTTCTGCTGTGGGGTCGGGGACATATACTTAATTAAAAATAAAATAAAATACCATATGTCTTCAACCAGGAACCTTGTAAAGGATTAATTTGAATATGAATTGAAGACCATAGATTAACGGTTGGAAGCATTGCCAACTCCATCTATGACATGAAAAGCTCATGCATATATAGTTACATATATATATATATATATATATACCATATTTTTCTTATATCTTTACTATATATTTTTCCAAAATGTGTATATATCTTAATTTGTGTCCAGTTACTGGAACAATTTCCTCCACATATACAACAAATGCAGAAATTGCATACATCTGTCACAATCTTTTTCCAAAATGATCGCTTCAATTGATTGGATACTATATCCTGAATGTTAGATATACATATATATTTATGTACCCTCTTTACTAATTACTAGCTATGATATGCAGTTAGAGAATATTGCAACTTTCTAGTTAGCAATCACATATAAGTATTGCATTAAGTAAAGATAATTATTAACACATAAAAATATTGCAACTTTCTAAAATTGTTTGGCTTGCGGTAAACAATGTAACCACAGCAATTACCAAAATATAATCACCAAAATTAATTCTTGACTCTCTTCAACACATTAAATACGGGAGCAACCTCGTACAAAGGTTTACAATTTTGAAACAGATCATATAAAAATTGAACCTCAAAAAATCATATGTAATGCATTTATACATGAAAAACTCAATTCAAATCACTTGAATCTCTTGAAAGTTTGAAAGTTATTCTTCTATCAACCAACTACAACCTGTGAAGATAATGCAATTTCTTTAAAACAAGCCGCTGGAATGTTTGAAGTTTGAACAGCTCATGCAGGTTTTTCTATCCAATTTTTGTTCTCATATTTTGATTGGCATTTCCTTTTGTTGAACTTAAGCAGGTTGCAATGTATATATAACAATATTGAGGAGGTAAACTTTCTCATAATCTATCGCTTATAGAAAATGAGTGATCATAACTATTGTAACTTATTAAAAGATTACTGGAAATTCCTTTTCAATTTGAATAAGCCATTTAAAAGAAACTAATTCTAATTAACTATCGCTAGGGTGAAAGAGCTTGCAAAATTTAGTTCGAGAGAATTTATAAGATCTGGTTAATTTGAATGTGATCAGGACAAACAATGCATAGAACTTGTGTCAACAATTGACTGCAAAAATTTCCTTGGAATATACAGAGAAGCTCGTTAATATTAATGTTAAAAGGAACAAAATACTTGTCCCAACTCCCAAGTAAATGATCAAATCCTAATTCCAGTGGCTGGGAAGGAAAACTCCAATAGCAAATTTAATTTTTGAATATATATCCACATGCATATCATAATTTATTATTGCAAATCTTCAATCATGTTCTATTTACTTGATTGTGGATGTATGTCATGAGTTGCATCAGTGATGTCTATTGTATAGTCAACGACATATCGGAAAATATCCGTCTTGGCTGATTATACGGCAAGGAATTCTCTCTAATAGCTGAAATTATCCTACAAACTACACAACTAAAGCCATCCTGAGATGCTGATATCTGTACACATGGTGGAGCTAAATCCAGCCAAGCATTAAAAAATTTTGGATTTACAATGAGGTTAATCTGGTTCCCACTAACGTGCAATATATGAATGCGAACTTCTGATTTATCTGAAAAATTAAGGGAGGATATGATAACAACAACACCTCGTTAAATTTCACTTTCCTGATACATGTGATAACAGGAAAAATAACAAATGTAGAGTCTGAATACCTAGACCATTGTTGTTTTTGGAGATGTTCAGAGACGATCTACTGCATTAAATCATTGATACTTATTTCCTGCCAAGTTTTCTGAAACCGAAAAACCTCACAAATGATGGGATGTATCAGATATATTATATGGGTCGTACTAAGTAGAAAAAGACCTTCCTTACTCAATGCATAATGACCAACACGTGGGAGCTGTGATGGGAAAAATCACCAGCAAGAACATATGGTTTAGTAGCTAGGAAATTTTACTCAAGGATGAAATTTCTTCATTTAGTTTCTGCTCCAGCCCAGGTACATCGACGCATATCAGATCATTGACCTGTAATGGCCGAATAAAGGGTTGCACTTAGTTAGCGGCCTGATAAGATGAAAAACCCAAACCTATTAGTCAATCATCAAAGAATGATTATACCTCAGATTGGATGGTGTGAATCAGTCCTCCATCAATTCTGGTAGAAACACAGTTAACAACAACAAGTCCTTCCTCAAGCAGTAATTCTAGCACCCTTGATAGCGTCAAAGCTTGAGCTCCAAGACCAGCGCTGATCACAACTTCAACACCATCCAAAGATTGGCGAACTACAGCACTGCCTGGGAAAGAGCAGTTGGAGCTCATCCCTTGGTCAAAACCACTCGAACCCGATATCTTCTTTAACTCATCTCTCTTGGCACTTAGTTCATCGATCCTCTTCCGCAGGTCTTTTATATAGCTCACGGCTGCGTTCATATGATCTGATATTGCACGCTTTCCCTGAAACCCCATGAAAAGTAACCCTAAACTCATAATTATACCAAATCCAGACTGTAGTTTCTTCAATTATAGAAGAAGAAAAAAAATAGTAAGCATCTATAGCAGTTATGTGAAAAGCAAAAATGGGTATCCATTATATGAAAGTAAACTCTACATATATAATTGAACAAAGAAGATTGAAAGTTGAATACAAGCTGTTCACCTTGATATACTCGAGAGGGAGAAGAGTTCGAAGAGAAGCATTAAGGGTGGCCATTTCTTGCCTCCTTTGCCTCTCAATATCCCTATGCATCAACTTTTTCTTACCATCATCATTACTATTTTCGCTCTTGTCACTTGCCAATAATTTTCGTTTCTGGCCTCTCCTTCCCATATTGCTGTACAGATTACCACTACTGCCGTCCATGGGAACATAATCCAGAGTCTTATCTTGTGGGGTTGTATTTTGAGGGTCGGAATTGGAAGAAACCAGGAAGAACCTCTCATCCATGGCTTTGGTGTAAAGGGAACATTTATGGGGAGGAGTATTCCTTTTGCTTTGTATTGATTGTTTAAGTTGGTTAGGGTTAGGGATTGGAAACAAGATTTTGTGCGGTGAGGGGCAACAAGAGGGCCGGAGAAGCAATGGATACGTTTGTTAGGGTGAGAGATCTTGGATGGGACCTAAGATGTCAAGATTCCATATAATCCTCCATCATGTTTATAATTAAGATCATATTTCTACCCACATTGTATAATCCCTCGTGGACACTGTATTTTATATGTGTATATAGCAGATCACTATGCCACCTACCCTCAATTTAAAAAAAAAATTCATAAAAAATAACAATAATCAAAATATATGTGGATTTGCCTTGTTTTAATAACATTTTTTAAGGTTATTATATTAAGTAATATCTTCATCTAATACATTTAAAACCATCAATTTAATTATCAATTATTGTATTTAATACAAAAATATTATTATAATTAATTTTCTAAAAAATATTTTATAATCAATAGTCAAAATTTAAGTTACAAATTTCTAAATATTTTGCAAATTCATAATAAGACATTTATAGGACGAATGAAATATGCATATATCTATATCTGTATCATCAAAGACATGTTAACTTGAAGTAAATAATATAGATCATTATTAATTGTTAGAACACTCGACTATTAAAATCAGTAAGAAAATTTTCATATATTTTTTTGTCAAAAGAAACTTTTCATATATAATAAATACATATATATATGTAATTTACTTTTTTTTTTCTTTTTGGCATTCATTTCTTTGATGAGTTGAATAGCCAATATATATCAAATTAATATTTGATACACTATTAATGTAAATTTTTAATTATATAAGTAGAGTTAAAAGAGTAATATATGTCTTATTTCTTTTTTTAAGTAAATTTTTTAATATACCATAAAAGGTAGATATAACCTTATTAACTTAGTTTGTAGAATTTAAAGACTGTTTTAACAGTTGATGAAATAATTTCTCATATATATATATATATATATATATTCGCTTATACCAATGTAAAATTAAAAAATTTTATATAATTTTTAATTATTAATTTTAATAAATTTAAGAAATAAAAAAATAAATAATTAATAATTTTAAGATTATTTTCTCTAATACTAATATGAATCGATGCGTTTTTCTTTTTGTCTTTTTAATATAAAGCAGGAAACCGGAATCATGAAAGTTTAATAATTTTTTACATTGTGACGGGATTAATAAGTCAAAATTTTTGTGTGTTTTCATACTTAAATTGAGGGCTAGTAATTATACCACGTGCTTATTACTGAAAACAGTATTAGATCAGAATCATAAAAGCGACGAAAAAAATAATTTAAAATGTTCTAACGTACAGAAATATGGTAATTTTATGTTGACTAACAATTAAATATATCGATTTCAAAGACTTTTGAAAGCTGTTCAACTATAGACTATATATAAATAAGTAAGTGATGTGTAATAGATTATGCAAAAGGAACAGCAAAATTGCTTTTTCTGCGACGTGAGAATGCAAAATGAAATTTTCGTGCTTGTAAAATGCACATCGACCCGTGGAGACGTTGGAGGAAAAGATTAAAGAAAAAAAAAAAAAGCGGCCTTTAAATTCCCAGAGTTTGGTAGGTTGAAAAGGAAAAAATAAGCCGCAATACCAACAGTATCAAGAGAAGAGGTAAGATTTCTGGTATTTTATTTCCAGGCAATGCTGAGGAACTGCTCAGTCTAATGGTATCGCTTAGCTGCCCCTTTGCTACTGGTTAATTATATTAAGATAAAAATGCTTAGAGCCCTTCCTTTTAACTAACAACAATGTGATTCTGTTCATGTGGTTTAATTATTGGGGATGGCCTATACTTATATTATAGTTGAATTTTGAGAGAAGTTAAACTGATTTTAACCTATAACTAAATATTCTTACCATTGCTTCATGAAAATTACATAAAACTTAATTTTATATTAAATTATTAAAATAAAATAAATCTATACAATATATTAAAGTAATCTCATGATGAAATTACTATAATGTCCCTTTAATTAATTGATTAATAGTTGACACACGTCTAAATTTGTTACAATATCTCTCTTTCTATAATTAACTAAAATTATTATAATGCTTTCATTTTATAATTACGAAAATAACCCTCTTAACACAATTGATCAAAATTATTTTAATGTCCCTTCTATCACAATGACAAAAATATCTTCCTATCATGATTGGCTACAATTTTATAATATTTCATTTTATCATAATTATGAGAATATCTCTCTTACTATAATCAATTAAAATTATTATAATATTTTTATTAAATTACATATTAAATTTTAATAAAATATAAAATTAACTATATATAAAATTATTAAAATACCTTTGTCGTTAATAAAAATTTGATATGTGATATTTTATAAAAATTACTATAATAACTTTATTAAATTAAATTATAAAAAACTTAATTACAAATTAAATTACTATAAATCTATACAATATATTGAAAATAACCTCCCATAAAATTACTATAACAATATATTTAATATTTATATTAAAATAATAACAAATATAATAAAAATAAAATTTGATAAAAACCTATCAGCCTTGGCTTCGCGTGGGTAAAAATCTACTAATGAGTTAAATGCAATGAAGAAAATATGTACATCAAGAAAAAGTATAGTAATTATTCAAAGAATATAAAATTCAGTCAAAGGTTTTCGGGGAGTGTGACGCCAAAAATATATATCCTTACTAAATAAAGATCAAAGGCTCAATTTATAATTTAATATTTATGTTATAATATATAGGTCTTAAAATTTATAGCTAAACTTAATAAATAGATAGAATCGTTATCAATTTTTTTTTATTTAGATGTGATTGACCACTTAAGAAATCTATCTTTTTAAAGAGCTCTTAAATTTGACTAAGGGTCCCTAAAAAAATAGGTTAGAATCTACAAATCAGAATAAGATTCGAGAATTCGATTACATGTGAAGAAAGTTATAGTAACCCCACATGCCCATCCGAAGAATGATACCATATTATTTTAAATTTATCTTAGAGTATTGAGTCTAATGGTTTCTAAATTTTTAAGTTGAATATCGAAAATAATTTATAAGATTCTGTCATCAATCTAGTAGAATTCTTAAAAATATTTTCTCACCTTAAGAGTATTTAAGGATCCCATTTGTTTCCTTAAAGAAGCTCGTCGTCAAGAAAAATGTTTATTTATTTATTTATTATTGAAAATATATCTAATTATTTTACCTTTGGGCTAAATTAGAAATATTTTTTCTTTTTGAATTTCTAAATTTTTCATCATTTAGGCCTATTTAAAAAGTCTCTTTATTTCTCTATCTTTTTTTTTTATTTCTAAATTTTCTAACATTTGGGTCAATTTAAAAATATTTTCTTTTTTAAAATTTTTAAAATTTTCATAATTTAGGCCTATTTAAAAATTTTTTTATTTCTCTTTTTTTTTGTTTGGAAAGAAAATAATATGATAATTATTTTTATTGAAATTTCATTTAAATTCTTCCATCATTTGGGACAAATTTAAGAAAATTTCTTACATAGAAATTTTTTAAAAAATTTACCATTTGAAATTTTTAAGAATCTCATCCTTGGATGCCAAATATTTTCAACCAAAATTTTTTATTTTTTTATTTTTTGGATTGAAAATAAATATTAATTATTGTTATTGAAACTTTATCTAAATTATTTCATCATTTGGGTCAAATTTAGATAAAATTTCTTACTTAAAAATTTTATAGAAATTTACCATTTGAAATTTTTATAAATTTCATCATTGGATAATTAATATTTATTCTTAAAATTTATTTTTTTTATTTTTTTATCTTTTTCTAATTTTAATCAATAAAAAATGCTTTTAAAAATAAACAAACACATAAATAAAAAAATAAAAATAAAAATTAAATAATACCAAAAAAATTGAAACAGCTTGATTGGAGGGTTGGCACGGCTCAGGTCCAAACATAAAAAATGGATCGAAGGCGCGGCTCGGAGGGAAATTGGCTCAACTCGACTCAGCAACAAGGTCTGTAGAGCAAGTTGAAATGGGTCGCACTACGGGTTGAGTCGCCCAAGTGGAAACGCATGGATCTTGGACTTTTTTAAATGCCAAAACGATGTCATTTTAGGGAGGCTATAAAAGCCCAAGTTTTAGCCCTTTACTTCATATCTCTCATTTCCCTTTTCTCTCTTCCCTTTTTTTTTCTTTTCCTTTCTTTCTAGAATCGGATGAACTCCGATTGAACTTCAATTGAATTCTGAGGAATATCGTCAAAATCTGGGTTAGTTCATCGACGGTTGCAAAAAAATTTAACTTTGTTAGACTCTTCACCGAATTCTGGAAAACCTTGCCAAAAAATTCAACCGATGCTAGAAAAGTCATCGAAAAATTCAACCGGTGTGGAAAAATTTCACCGAAATCTGAAAATTTTTCAAAAAATTTCCAAAATTTTTTTTTACCCAAAAACTTCGAAAATCTTTTACTTTCTGCTTGCTTTGTGTGATCTACGTTGCTGTATATCTTTTCTGTGTGTGTCCAAGGCTGTATTTATAAGGTTTCAAATATGAGAATCTTAAACCAAATGGGATTTCAATCCCCTTTAAATTCAATCTCTAATTCTGAATATATCACAACCCAGAAAAATAGCTCTAAGCAAATCCAACCACCTTAGAATTTTTCTAATTTTTCATTTTTTAATTAAAAATAAACACCTTGGATAGATCGGGGTGTCTATAGTTGCCCTTTTTACATATTTTTTGTGAAATAGGAATTGTGCAAAGACATGGACGCTCCTCACATCCAATAATCATTCCAACATATTCATTTTTTTTGTTTTTTTTAAAAGTAAACAAAGCTCTTCTAAATAGAGGCTTAACGACTTTAAGAAAAATATATGCTCCTTTAAACAGAGGCACCATAACTTAAAAAAATAAAATACTCTTATAAACAGAGGCACCACAACTTTTGAAAAATAAAATGCTCCTCTAAACAGAGGCACCATAACTTTGAAAAGTAAAATGCTCCTCTAAATAAAGGCACCACGACTTTTGAAAAATAAAATGCTCCCCTAAATAGAGGCAACCACAACTTTGAAAAAAATACAAGGCTCCTTAACAATCATGTCTAGAGGAGTCGTAGATCAAATCTGATGAAATTTGTAATGGGAACTCAAAGATTCA